TATTGATCGTTGCATTTATTTAAAAGTGTTTTCAAATTTTCCATTTCTATTATTTATTATAATAGAGATGTATTTTTTTTTTAATCGCATATTTAAATTATATTTATTTCTAAATAACATAACAATGTTAATCTTTACGGACAGACAGACAGATAGACATATTAACATTGAACGTCCGTCTGTCCGTCCGTCTCATGAACCGTGTGAGTCCGGTTTTTTTTTTTAATAATAATATATATATATGTCAGAAACTTTGATGTATGTTTTAATAATTCGATGTTAAAAAAAATATTTACTAATATAAATAATAGAAATGGAAAATATGAAAACACTTTTAAATATGATTGAACAACAACGTAAAATCCTAAGACCTATATTTAATGATAGTGATATTGATATTGATATTGATTCTGAAATTAGTAATATGTTATGGAATCAAATATTGGATAATTGTTGTTACGAAAATGTTGCAAAATATGTTTATTACAAAAAACATAAAAAATTAAAATCATTTAACTTCCATTTCATTAGTAATTGTTGTTTCGAAAATATTTTAAGTTTTATTAAAAACAAAAATTATAATGAAATTAAACTTTCACTAAACGAATTACGTAAATTAATACAAGAGGAATTACATGATTCGAATAATAATAATAATAATAATAATAATATGCAGCTAGAATGATTATTTTTTTTTAACATCCGGTATTGAATAGCTTATCTACTGACTACTATACAGCGTGAGTATATATACAGTGTGATATAATTATACTAGCTTAATACTATTTAAATAGTGTTAAATAACATATATTACATGCCTAAGCATTGTGGCGTGGTGGGTTAAGGCGTGTGTTTTGAGAGTGAACATTGTAGGCATGACAAAATAAATAGGTATGTCAGCAACTCGTGATACGCATGTCTGTGACGTAAGCATTTCTCCAACTGGTTGAGCGGTGGAGTGGTGGTGGAGTCTTTGGCGGCGGCGGCTATTGCAGCAGTGATGGCGGTGGACCAATGAGAACCGGAGAAATGCTTACGTCACAGAAAATGGCTGGGCGGAGGGTGGGTGCGCGATTTGTTTCTAAATCCGTAATATTGCTGACATACCTGTATAATTTGTCTTGATTGTAGGTTCGAATCTGACTGCAGCAGATTTGTTTCTACTGTGTTTGCTCTCGTAGTAGGATTTAAAATTGGTGGGGGTATCATAAAGCCGGTAATTGTGGCGCTTCGGACGATTGGTGATTTACATGCGAATGTAAGTTGTCACGTGGTGCGGCCTACGTTATCACCTTGATTTCTATCTATCTCAGTCTCCAAAGGCTGACGTATATGATATCCTCCTGACCTTTAAATTCTATAAATAAACCACGGCACCCACCACACCACAATGCTTAGGTAAAAAAAAAATATCTGTTGTACAGACAACCAGTTAAAAAAAAATAAAAAAAATAAAAAAAAGTGAGAGGTGGCCACCATTCTGGATGTCTGTACAGCACAGATATTTTGCAATTTTTTTGTGTTTTTTTTTCGATTTAAATTATTATTAACACGGTCGTATAATTTGACCTTGTTAAATATTACAAGTACTATATTTCATTTAATATTTGATATTATCAAGTCGGAACAACACAGATATGTTTTATATGCTTATCTACACTACATATTAAAAGTTTACCCCCTCTTCATATTTTTCATTTAAATATAACTCTGTTTCTATTTATGTTAGAATCTTCATTTTTACATTAAACATTTTTAATATTAATTCTTTATAAGCCCCCCTAAAAGTATCATATTGTAAAATCATTTTCAAAGATTTTTGGATTTTAATAACGGGTGTCCGAATGGGACACGCGTTAAATATTGAACATTTTTTAATAGAACAATTCTATTAAAAAAATAAATTAATAATATAGTTATATTCTAAGTTTTGCAATATCAAAAGCACATATTTTAATATCTCCTAAAGTTTTCATTACACTAATATCATAGAGATATTTGAATGAATCTGGACTGTTTGTAATTATTTGATCATTAGCTATTTTACAAAGTTCTAACCAAGTTGGTGATTGTAGAAATTTGGAAACATAAGTTGGTTCTGATTGGTTCCCGTTGATTAAAATTTTTCCTTTAATTGGAATTTCATATATATTATATTTTATTATTTTTTTTATTATTTTCATAATATTCAAAAGCACAAAATTGCACATAACATTTTTTTTTTTTTTTATTTAATATATAGTTTTCTACTTCGTTTTGCATTTCGATTTCTTGTAACTTATTATAATTTTTTATAGTTTCCATTCTTTTATTATAAATATCAATTCCTTTAACTAAAGGTATTCAATTTCTTTTAAAATATTTTTTAATACACTATATTTCATTCGATTTAATTATTAATATCATAAGTATTATGAAAAATATTTTGGGGGATTTTGCATTTAATAAGTTTTGCGAAAAATGTTTTTATTATTATTGCATTTCGATTTTTATTTTTAATAATTAAGTTTTGCGAAAATTTTTTTTATTATTATTGCATTTCATAAGTTTTTCGAAAAATATTTTTATTATTATTTAATTTCAATTTTATGATCTTTTTTCACATTGTTTTCTTTGTGATCTTTTATTGATATAATATTATGAGCTGCACCTTAAAGGTGCTGTGCCAGGATTGGCATATATATACTACTACTATATTTTATCATTTGGCCAGTAAATTTTACTAAAAAAAACTCATAGAATACATAAATGTGTTTAAAAAAACAATATAACTTTTTTAAATATATATAAATAAAAATACAACTTTTACTTCTTTGTAATTTTTAATGAAAAATGGTAAAAAAAAATACCTAATAAGTAATAATAGAATAAAACAAATGAATATGTAAATAAAAATCATATACAAATGCTTTTAATGTACACAAGTATTCAAGAATAGTTTAAAAAAACAATATAACTTTTAAATATATATAAATAAAATAAAAAATAAAAATACAACTTTTACATATTTATGCATTGTAAAACAAATACTTAATAATAGAATAAAACAAATAATTTTATAAATTAGTCTTTTGTAAATGGCCAGTTAGCAGACGTATTTAATGGCATCGGATCCGTTGATTGCAAACTATGAAACTCTTGATGAGGTAGACCGGGTGGATAATTCAAATATGTTGGAGTTGACATTGGTGGATAAGTTTGAATTGTACCTGAATTTTTTACTTCAATCATCATTGCCAACACTCTAGATCAAAAAATCAATTTTTGATCATTATTGAATTGTCGTAGGGTAGGCAATAATGAATCCAAAAAAGATTTATCTTCGTCTTCTTCTTATTTTGAGTTAAGAATTCGTAAAAATTTTTCTTTTTAAGGGGAACGCAGCAGACGTATTTTTCATGCGTTTTAGACCAATAAGCGGTAGTAAATTACACATACTTCGGAATGTCCGATTTTAATGTTTTATACATGTATGAACTCTTTAACAAAATATCTAAGTTATTTAGGAAGTCGATTTTCAATTTTCAATTTTCAAGGACCTTAAAATAACGATTTTTTTTTTCAAAAATCTCATGAAATAATTGCATTACATTTGTATTTATTATGGGCACATATAATTTTAAATCAAAAAAGTGATTTATAAAGAGCATAGTCTAGAAGTTTATAAATTCAACCATATTTTCAAAATTACAATCGGACTTCAGGAAGTATGTTTAATTTACTACCGCTTTTAGTAGTTTTTATAGCATTGCAAACATGAATATATTTTATTTTTCGTAAAGTATTGACATGTGCCTGCGCGTGCAATAGTTTATTTCGGCGGCGCGGCGGCTCGCGGCTGCCGACGGGCCGTGATAGATTCTAGGAAAGTCGGAAAAAATTAGCCGATAAGGATTATTGTATATGTATAGAATATTACTAATGGGCGGCAATAATAATAGTCAGTAATAATAATTATATTTTTCCAAATTTAATACAACCCACATATATTTAAATTTTAAGGAAATACAAAGTATAATAATACTACCTATGATTTATGAATCATTTGATTTCAACACAACACGCCGACCAGTAAGGTTGTTTGTAAGTTTTGTGTTCTTTTTAATTTTTTACAAAATGGGTAAAGATTGGCGTTATGGGAGAAAATCTCGACGTAAGTTAAGTGCACCTAAAATAAAAAAACATCGATTACAAAATTTACATAATAAAAAAAGTGATATACATAATAACTGCGGTGATCCGGTACCTAATTATATAAATATAAAATTTAGAATAATTTTCTTAAAATTAAAGATTATTCAGACTGTATTCTTATATTTTAATTGCAACAGGAAAATATACATTTGCCAGAATCTGAAAATGTTTTGACAGATAAAAATATAGCTGAACTTACTACTGTGACTAGGTAAGTAAAACATTTATTATGGATATTATTCATTCATCATAGTAAAATGACAGATGACAGTTGTAGAACGTAGGTAGTAGTTATATATATACTAATGTTCTATATGCCTATATTATTATTATCGACGGCTATAATAATAGACAAAAAGATGTAACTTGTAAAATATTTAATTTTTTGTTCGTAATTTATTATATTTGAGTCTGCTATGGCACATGTTTTGTATCACTTGCGTCCAGGCACGTATACAAAAAAAATCTGGTGAGGGGTGGTTCATAGTAGTTTTCAAAATTTTTTGTAGTTAAAAAATCTTATATTTAAATTATAATTTTAAATCATAAAATTTTAAAAAACGCCTAAAATATTTTTTATTTAATATTAAACGTAGCCTCAGGCTATTAGTCATATATTAAATTTAAAAAAACTGCAATAAAAAAATAAATATAGGTACCTAAGTATGGAATATCATTATATAATTCGAATTTCAGCTAATTATTTCTAATTACTGCAAAAGACACATATTACTTATTTTGATACAAAAAATATTAAATGTTACGAAATAGCTGGTTCAGATTTAATTTTTTGTGATTTTTTATTTATGCATAGGAATAATACTAAAGATTTAAACGCTGCAGAATCTTCGTACAATGATATCTTCACATTACAAACAAAATCGTTTTTTACTTCTACTCCGGTGAATAGAATGTTAACTGAAGTAGTTGAGCAGGAAAATAATAGTTCAGAAATAAATAGCTCATTTGATAGTCTGGATGGAAGAAGATTAGTAAATATTAAATATATTTTTGAGTCTATTCAATCAATAAAACATCAAGGGTTTGATTGCACATTTCGTGACTTGGAGTTTATAAAGAAAAGAGGAAAGGATTTTGCAGTACTTTTTTGTTTTACTTGCAAAGTATGTGGCACAAAGAAACTATAATAGTGAACATCCTTTGATAACATAAATATAAATGCTAATATGGCCGTCGTATCTTGCTGTCGTTAAATACTGGTCAAGGGGGCGTCGCTGAGTTGCGTCCCGTTAATCATATCGTACCTTTTTAATAGATCAAATTGCGTCCGCGATAGATTCGCTAATAATTTGGTATAACCCATGTGCGTCCGCGATAATCTCACAAATAATGCGGAATATACAGGTCCGTTACATTGGCACCACCATATTCAATATTCCCCCAAAAAAATATACCAACGATGTTATTTCATTTGTACACATTTTGAATCCTAATATAAACATTTGTTACATTGTACATTTGTATTCCTTCTTAAAAATATTAAAAAAAATTCAAATAGACACAAAAATGTTGATACAAATTTCTAATCAAAAAAAATTAGATCAGTCAATGGAAAAATATTAAATTCATTGAAGAAAATATATGAAAATACAAAACTGAACAAATCTCTAGATATGATTATGTGAAAATCATGGCATTGAAAAGTCAACCGAAAAAATAGTTTAAATAATACCCAGCATTTGAAAATTGGATGTAAGCCTCAATAATTTAATACATTTTTATAACAATAAACTTTTATAATAAATATAATATAAGTAATAATTAAATAACCAAATAACCAAATATTTTTGGGGTGTAAGCCAGTACACCTCCTCGTGGACCGTGGTGCACCCTGGGTAACTCTAAATGAACTGGGACGCATTCGGGCTATGTAAAAAATATGACCTTATTTCCTTGGGACGCACTCGGACGATACCTTATTCTGGACGCACTAGGAACATAAAAAAAGGGTAATTTCAGGACGCACTCGGGAGTCACCCGGTCAAGGATATACTCAACTTGAAGAATTTTCTGCAACTTTGAATATGCCGGTAATTTCTAATAGGATGTACCAAGAAATGCACTCAAAAGTGTTTTATTATACCCACAAAATGGCTTTGGAAGGAATGTTATCAGCAGGGAAAGAAGAAGGTAGGCTAGCTATTGAAAGAGGTGATGTAGACCAGTATGGTCGTCCTAAAATAGCTGTTGTAGCCGATGGTGCTTGGAGCAAACGCTCTTATAGAACAAATTATAATGCATTATCTGGTGTTGTAAGTATAATTTATAAAATGTTAATCAATAATAAAATAAATTAATAATTTTGAATTTCAAATAGGCTTGTATTATTGGAGCAGTTACTAAAAAAGTTATTTTTTTCGGCGTGAGAAATAAATTCTGTTGTGTGTGTTTTTCGGCCAAAAAGCATGATAAAGGACCAGGGCCTCATCATTTTTTTTTGAATTGGAATGGACCTTCCACAGCTATGGAAGCAGACATAATTGTCGATAGGTTTAAACATAGTTTAGAGATGCACAATCTTATTTATTCACAGCTAATTGGTATGATAAAATATTTTAGTACTACACAATATTAAAACATAATATTAATTTTGCCTCGCTTCTAAGACATTTTATATTAAATTTTTTAGGTGATGGTGATAGCAGCGTTATGAAACGTTTACGCATTGCTAAACCTTATGGACCTAATTTTATAATAAAAAAAGTTGAATGCATCAACCATTTATTGCGAAACTACATTAACCGATTAAGAGATTTGACAAGCAAACGAAAAAATTCCAAAGGTGAACGAATACCGGGTTATCTTAGAAACAGTATTCAAACTCGTCTGTTACGATTACGGTACGCTGTCACCGAGGCTGTAAAATAGAATCAACACTTCAGAAATATACCGTATGAAACCCGATTAACGGATCTAAAATCAGATTTGGTAAATGGGCCCAACCATGTGTTTGGAGATCATACAAAATGTAGAAAGTACTTCTGTCAGGGCAAAAAAGAAGGTAAGATCATTGAATATAACTAGTATAATATATTTTATAATTTGTAAATATGTTAAGTAAATATACATATTGTATATAGGTGAAAATAATCTTGTCGATGAACTAAAACAATTTGAACTATGGGATGATATTACACGGGCTAGACATTTATTAACTTACCACACGGAAAGTCTAATGTATAATTTTAATAATAATGCAGCAGAACTATACAATTCAATCTTGGCCAAATTTATCGGCGGAAAACTTGTCAACTTTTCTCACAAAGGTTATATTTTAGTTTTAAACTTATTTAGAACATATTTTATTTTTTCATCTTAACAAAATTTAAAAACATATTAGAATCTAATAACCATACTACAAATTGTATTTAATAGTAGTGGCAAAACGGGACTATAAACAACATAACATTTAGTATATATCGAACCGCCACTCGGTGACCACCTATTTAATATTTAATACAATTTTTTGGTTTTAATAAACATTTTTGGTTATTACAAATACTTATATAGTTTGGTTATTGATTCAAAAGTACACTAGTATACATATCAAATATATATATATATATATATGTGTGTGTATTATGTATGTATAATAGTATTCACTGTATTGATTATTCACCTTTTAATTTTAAACACTTTTAAATGTTTAGGCTCTTATGAACTTCGATGCAATGCGGCAGTTACAGCTTACAACGAAGGGGCAAATCGTCTATCTTTGTTTAATAAACAAATAACTGATAAAAGCCCTGGGATGTATACTAAAAATAACATAAAAAAAAAATGTGAGGAGGATTGAAAATCATAACCGACGTCGTTGCCTTTTTAAAACATCTAAGCATACAAAAACTGCTGACAAACCCCAGATTTATAACGGACCAGATGAAGATTACGGAAATGTATTACATGACCCGTTCTCAGATTTAACTGAAAGTCAAATTGAAGAGTATAAACGCGAATACTTGGATAAATTATCATTGTCTAAGAGTGAAATAAAAATGTTGGAAATAAGAACAAGGCAACACCAATGTGAAGAATGGTATATCGAAAGGAAAAAACGGTTAGTACCTATTATATTTATTTAGTACTATTTATCAACGCAGATCCAAATTTTTTTCCGTGGTGTGAGGTGATGAAATTTAAGGACCCTAAACTTTTTAAGGTGTTAGCTGCAATACCTACTGCCTTCTGGAATAACTTGTACAGTATAATATATGATTATTATATTATTATTATTATTATTATTGTTGTTGTTGTTATTTATGAATTTTGTCTTATGAGTTATGATTTATAATTTATTATGTAATGTCTAAAATATTTACAGACTTACAGCATCCATTTTCGGAAAAGTTTGCAAGATGCGTGATAAAACGTCACGTGCTAAAACTGTGGAAAATATTTTATTTGGCACATTCACTGGAAATGCCGCCACTAGGTATGGAATTGCCAATGAAATAATCGCTAAAGAACAATTAGAAGATCTTCTAAAGCAAAAAATACTACCTGTGGGCTTAATGGTTGACAACAGTATGCCATTTATAGCAGCTTCCCCTGACGGAATACTAGATGATGAATCGTTAGTTGAAATTAAGTGTCCAGCTAGTGCTAATGAACTTGCACCAGAAGATGCTATACAGAACAACAAAATTAAATGTTGCTCAATTAAGGATGGGCAATTGTACTTAAAACGCAACGATAATTATTATTATCAAGTTCAAGGTCAACTGCAAATCAGTCAAAAGACTTATTGCTATTTTTGTGTATGGACCCCAAAAGGTAAACAACAGTTATTAAAATTATTTACATAAAATAAACTAGTAAAAACTAATCATTACAGGTTTGATGTATGAAAAAATAAAAAGAGACAACGATTTTTGGAAAATTAATATGGAAAGTAAAATTAAAACGTTTTATTTAGAAAATCTTTTACCCGTCATAATCAAAGAAAACCTTAGGCAATAAATGCACAAATACTTTTTTTAATCTTTAATATATTTATATTTCATAATATTATTATAATTTATACACGTGAATATGCTAATTGTGTTTGTCATTCCTTATTTGTCTCACTGACTTTTACTCTAAATTGTACCTATTATATACAAAAGTATTGTTGTATCATTAAACATATTATCCACCTAGGTACTTATACGATAATACGTCATGGATATCATAATTTAAATTCATATTCCATAGAGTGTGTTATCAATAATTACGATAATACAGTTTATAGTTAAATTTTTAAAGATATTATTATAGTAATATACTTAAATATTAATTTATAATTTATATTGAACTTCATGTTTCAATGTATAGTATTTGAAATTTCTAAAATTGGTAAAATAATGTGGTAAATATTTTGGAAAAAATTTTATTTTTACTTTTTTCCTTGGTTACATGGTTTTAGAATTAATTGATTTCGTATATGAACGTGAGTTTCCTTTTCCTATTGGGGATGGTTTGTAATACTACTTTTTTAAATGGTTTTATTTGTATAAAAAAGTTAAGTAGGTAATGTAATAGTTAATAACTATGAAATAACAAATTCTCTTGTGTAGTATAATGTAATTGTACATTTTTGCGAATTTCAGCGAAAGCCGAGTAGTGAGTAGGTGATATAATAGTAAAAGATAACGAGCGCAATTGAACATAATATATTGGCATTTTTATAGCATTTTAATTATACGTAGCTCTGGGAATTCATAATACTGTCAACCGATAGTCCGAGGCACGCGATAATTGATTACCCACACTAATGTTCATTTACTACTCACACATAGACATAGCCCAAATGTTCATGTTATGTTAATTGCCTAAATATTACTCCTTAAAAGATGATACGCTGAAGCCCCCTTAAATCTAAGATTTGAAAATGTAATACAAGATTACTCATAAGCTTGTCTACCTTACCATACACCATACAATTTTGAAAATATTTTGACTTTTTTTGAGCTGTTTATGGACATTTACAGCTTTCATTTTTTTTAGTTTTTTTTTCTATAAATATCAATAAAGTTTTATCTGTTGGGCCAAAAAGTGTAAAATGTAATACAAGGCTCCTGATATATTGTTACAATAGCAGTTGAAAAATATTAAAAATACATAGGCACAGTTTTTTTTTATAAGCACATACCTCTATATCCTCAAAATTTGTTCATGTTTATTCCCGTTTGATAAATACAAATGGCCTATCCATTCTTTAATATCTATGATAACCACTAACCACAGATATATAAACATAGTACTGTAAAGTGCCAACTACAACGATACTCGTATAGATGGAAGTAAATTGAATAGCACCTCGATGACGATACCAATTTGTATTTATATTTTATTACGTGCAAAATAGTTATAATGAAAATATCTATAGTAAAGTATATAAAAAATATATATAAAGTCCAAATAATTATGTTTAAACTGTGAATTAGCGAGATGTGACTATGTACAATATTGGTGTCTGCTCGAGTTGAGGCTGGGTGCTCGTCTGATGAACGCTTGTCCATCAGCTCTCCTCGATGGATCTCTGTCCCTGTCCCTTCCATTAGTTCACAAGACCATACATGGTCATCCTGCGGTTAGGCCTAACGTGATTCACACGCCGGATGTCTATATATCTCTGTTGTTATTGTACATTTGTGGTGTTATTTAACATAACAGCACAAATCTAAATTATATTATTTTTAGAATTATTCATATACGTAGTCACATATCTATTGCCGCACGCCGCTCATGGTCACGCGCTCGATAATCGATATTACTATTATCGATATTATTATTATTAATGTGTACGCGAGCAAGCTACAGTACCATTGATTATATAATTAATGATAGTAAGGATGATGGAAGCTTAGATCGGATTGTATATGAAAGCGATATCTATTAACCGTGGTAAGCGACCAGTAAAGTTGATTGGGTTCTGATTTACCTGTTATCTTCAGTACGACCCGTTGAAAAACATGGAAACGAGTCATTTAAAGTCCCAATATTGACAAAATACCTATACCGGCTATACCTACCTATTATTTATTATGCTTATGCGTCGTTAATATTCGTTATTTGTTTTCACTTTCTTTGTTTAAAATTTAAATTAATAATGTTATTTTACGTCGTGGGAGATTTCGCACATAAGCACATTGTTATTACCTAATGTGTGATGTGGGGTGTCGTTTATTTTGATTTTTGGCTAGCACGCGTTAATATCTACAAATTTAAGACAAAGAACAATTTTTTCATTGATAATACCAATAATTATTATTTTTTTCGCGTCTACCCACCGCACACCGGCTACCACTCATAGTATGTTATGACCAACAAATTATATAGTTATTTTTTGTTTATTAAAATTAATATGTCGACCATTGTGGTTTTTATTGCATTTTGTTAAAATGGTTCGCTCGGATAACCAAGAGAATGATTTAACTTTTTATCAATGTCATTCTTATATTCGAAACCGGAAACCACCATGAATCGAGTTTGTTCTCGTTTCTTAAAGGTATGTACCCAGAGCGTGTTAAGGGGGGGCAAAGGGGGCAATTGCCCCCGGGTGCCATAGTTTTGTAAAAGTAAGGGGCGTCGTTATTTGAGCTTAATATGCTACTTGGAGCCCAAATTGAAGGGAAAGGGCTCGAATTGCCCCGGGGCGCTGAATTGCTTGACACGGCTCTGTATGTACCAACATCTTTTTTGATTGGATAGGTAATTGTTTAAAATAGTTTTTTTATTTTAGAATAATTACATTTAGTCATGTAAATCATAAGCATTATCTGAAACCACAAATTGTGTCATTGGAATGAAACTCAATTTGTATTCCAATGAATGGAAAATGCAAACGCATGTGATTTTTGGAAACTGCTGTCTGGACATTTCAATGCAACTGTACAATGTTTACTGTCTAGGTATTATAAATATGGTTGTTCCGTCTCTGGTAAGTGCTTTATTTGTATACTTTGTAAGTCACAAATTGTGACAATGTATTTATGACTTTTTTTCAACTCAAATATTAAGCAAAGGTAATTTGCCTACATTTTCAGATCTTAAGATCGTAATTACCAACCGAAAACTGATTTGTGATCACCAAATCAGCAAAATATCACAAGACCAGGTAAATCGTCACTTAATGGTTTTTTTTGTTCAATTAATTATAAGATAGATATGTAGGATATAGTTACTAAAATAAATAATTCTTATTATTAATTGTATATTGTAGGTATATTAATTAATTAATATTTATTCATTAATTATTAGGGACTCCGTGCCTTCTTCTATTGTTACTGCTTCTGCCTCTTTTTGTTCTTTTGCTTGTTTCTATAACATAATTTAATATTATTAAGTACCTATATAAAAAATGCTACTTAGGTATTTTGTACACTTATATCTTAGATAAAATAGTGAACAAATAACTTGTAGTCAATAACATAGTAGGTACCTAGTTACAATTTTAGTTTATGAAATGTGATAAGAATTGAATAATTTATTGGAGTATTAATTTTTCATGTTTTTTTTCTGTCTTGATACCAACAATAATTTAAATTAATGTACCAACTTCTATTTGTTTAAAAAAATAATATTTTCTTTCCCTATAAAAATAGTTTGTTATAGTTTATTAAATGTCAACATTAATTTGGTTCATCATTTAATTTCATCTGTTAACAATAAAAATATTATTAATACCTAGTGGCTAGTTTACATTATTTGTCCTCTCTCACTGATGTTATCACATCAATTAATTTCAAAATATGCATAAAATGATTAAAGAAAGTGGTAAAATATATTATTGAACTCATCGAATATGTTGTTTTTAAAATAATAAATAATAAAGACATATTGAAGTATGAACTTTTAGCTTACTTTTTCACGGATTTCCACAATTTTAGATTCTGAGCGGAGCGATGAATGTATTGGTTTTACAATGATGTGTGTTTTTATATTTTTTAATTTTTTAATTTTTAATTTTTATATTTTTATATTTTTATATTTTTTTTTTTGTGTCTGTCATCACGTTTTAGGACAGTAAAAGTGCTTGGATTTTCTTCATCAGTAGCTTTTCTGATAGGAAAGTGAATCTAGTTGGTACTTTGGGGGGTCAAAAGTATAAATTTCCCAGTAGTTTTCACAAGAGCCAGGAAAAACAACATAAAAATTAAGGAAAAACAGGAATTTTTACGCAAAATTGGTTTTCCAGAAAATCGATTTTGGTTATTGGTGTAACTCTAAAACAAATGAACGTATATACATGAAATTTTCACTGGTTGTTTATATTTGCATTTTCTATACACGATAACATTTTCAAAATATTTTGATTTATTTTGAACTGTTTAGGGACATTTTCATTTTCCATTTTTTTTTAGTTTTTTTTCTAAAAATATCAATAAAATTTTATTTGTTGGTTGCAAAAGCTTGAAAATTTAATAGAAGGCTCCTAATATATTGTTTCAAAGGCAGATGAAAATATTAAAAATCCTTAGTCACAATTTTTTTTTATAAGCATTTAAAGTTCAAAAAATTGACAAAATATGGTAAAATCACGAAAATTAACAAATTATTTTGAGTTAAGAATTCGTAAAAATTTTTCTTTTTAAATCTAAGATTTGAAAATGAAACCCAAGATTCCTTATAAGATTATCTACCTTTATCAATAAAAAAATCTCTAACGGACAATCAAATTAAATTTTTATGAGCGTTTGAAATTCAAATTTTTACAACATTGGATATTCACTCGATTACTCATGTAGCGATTTCTTTATTTTGTTGCAATTCAAAAACTAACAACTGTAGATACATGAAAATTTGACTGAATGTTTAAATTAGCATTTTCTATACACCATACAATTTTGAAAATATTTTGACTCTTTTTGAGCTGTTTATGGACATTTACAGCTTTCATTTTTTTTAGTTTTTTTTTCTATAAATATCAACAAAGTTTTATCTGTTGGACCAAAAAGTGTAAAAATTTAATACAAGGCTCCTGATATATTGTTACAATAGCAGTTGAAAAATATTAAAAATACATAGGCACAGTTTTTTTTTTTATAAGCATTTAAAGATCAAATTTTGACAAAATTTATCAAAATATCGAAAATTATCAATCATTGTAATTAATAAATTATATATATAATTATAATTATTAAATGTTCAGTTTTTATAGCTAAGGATTACCAATTCAACACAAAGGTTTTCATAAATAGTTCATACTATAACCAAAATGATAGTATGATAGTGTGATAGTATCACGGTTTTTGTTGATGTATAACGCGTTATAAGTATCTAATGGATATTGTGATATGATTAATTTGGAATTTATTATAGGTAACTAGTATAGGTCAATTTTTTGTTTAATACCATAGATATGTATATAATATGTCTTATACATAGACTGACATACCGTCACCGCTCAGAATCGTTTTTCATATACAATGATATTATATCATTGAATTCAAATTTCATACCATCCATTATACAGTGACCCACTTGTAACCTACTGTACAGCAGAGCTACACACACTTGCCCACCTTTTTAATATTAACTTTCAATTTATATTATCGAAATTTATAAAAAAAAAAAAAACACAAAAAATTCGAATATTTCAAATGTTTATAAATAGCTGGAAAATTAACGGAAAATTTAAAAAAAAAATTTATGTTTTAGTTCTATAGTTTTTTTCTATGCTTTTAAATTGTTTTTTATAGACGTTTCAAAATATTATATTGAATTTATAGGTAATTGAAACACTTTTGTTTTTTTTTTATTTAAGGTACTTGGCATCAGGTAATACATTTACTGATCTACAGCAGCTGTTCTCAACCTTTTTATAGTTGCGTACCACTTACACAATTTGAAAATTTTTACGTACCACCTGACCATTTTTTTTTTGCTTATTAATAATGTATACGTTTATGTTATATGTATCTATAGAATTTTATTTCATTAGGAATTACAAAATGAGATAATATAAAATATAAAAATATATAATATAAAACAAAGTATTTAATTGAGTAATGCACAGAAAGAAAAAACTTAAAATATAAAAAAAATAAAATATGTAAAATTATTATAATTATTATGGTTTACTTTTTATTTCAATGAGACGATTGGTGTTGTTTTGAACGGACAATGACGTCAATATCGGGCTCCTAATTGCTAGCCAATAGATTCTACAGTATTCATATAGAATGGGACTATCTACAATTAGTGGAACGTTGAGGATGTATGTGAACAAATTTTTAAATTGAAATCTGGATGCATACCTCTACCTACGGAAGAAAAATTTCTTTTGATTTTGAAAAAAATACTAATTTCCCTAACTGCATCGGTGCATTAGACGGAAAACATATTCGCGTTATTAAGCCTATCAAAAGCGGTTCACTTTTTTATAACTACAAACATTATTATTCTATAGTGTTGATGGCAATTTGTGATGCAAATTATTGTTTTACATTTATTGATGTTGGAGCATTTGGAAATTTTAGTGATTCGTCTGTCTTCAAAAATAGAAAATTCTTTGAAAAACTTGAAAATGAAACATTATCTATACCTCAACCTAAACCTCTACCAGGAGATAACGAGAATGGTCCTTTACCTTACGTAATTTTAGCCGACGAAGCTTTTGGAGTTTCTAAAACTATTTTAAGACCATATGCTAGAAGTAACTTAAATTATAAAAAAAAAATTTTAATTACCGTCTATCACGGTGTAGAAGGTATATTGAATCTAGTTTTGGAATTTTATCCAACAAATGGAGGATTTTTCATAGACCGATGAACACAAGCGTTGAACTTTCAACAAAACTCGTAAAAGCTTGTTGTGTACTTCACAACTTTGTTCGTGTAAGAGATGGATATCAATTTGCCCATACATTGAGTATACAAAGTTTTGAAACTTCAAATGATACAATAGATACACAAAACAGATCCGGCAATACAATCAGAGACATGTTTGCAAATTATTTTTTGGCTGATGAAGGAAAAGTCGAATGTCAAGATAAGATGATACATTAAATTTGTTTTTTTTCCTACAATATTAGTTATTACTATAACATCATTTTTTATTTTACTTATTAAACTTATATAATAAACTTGTTTAACTATACCTATAAACTAACTATACCTTAAAATATAACAGTTTTTTTGTAAAGTATCAGCTAATGTTGGTGCTAATAAGTAGTATAATAAATATACTAGTTATGGATGTAAGTAGTACTCATATGTCTTTTTTTATGCCTATATAATTTAATAATAACTACATAGTTCTTATAATTAGTATTATATTATTTCTGTATTAACTATAGCGATCTGTATATAATTATACAATTAATAAAAAACTAATCAGAGTATTAACATAAATATGAATAGTTGTTTTTCACAAGAATTACGTACAAATAGTTAATTTATATAAAATGAAGAATTTTCTGGAAAACATGTTATAAAGTAGTAAAACGTGAATATCAACCATATGTATTTGGAGAATTATTTAATACCTACTATCTAATAGGTACACTTTACTTTATAACTGTAGTTATAACTTACCAGCTTTTTTTTTTTCAATTTCGGACATATTTTCAAAATTGTTAACTACGGTTTTGGCAATATCTTGCCAAGACGCCATCCGCCATCGCGGTCTTTATAAAACTCATTACCAACGTCCCACAAATTTTTCCGGGCTTCCACTTCATTGATGAGAATCTCGGTGTCGATATTCATTTTTTTTAAATTTGTTAAAACTTTAAAACTTTAAAACTTGTTCTCCGTCGATAGATGAACGATAAATGAACATAATAATATTTACAAATTAATAAACGCCGCGTAAGGAACGCGCCGCTGTGAACATGTCATAACCTGTCAATGCATGGTCGGTCGGTCGGTCGGACGATCCACGCGTACGGTTCGTAGCGAACGCACCGACAAAAAAACGAGAGCAGATGTATGCGTGGTTGTGTAACGTTTCATTTGTTTAATGTATTTCTGTACGCGGCGTATAAAACGCGCGCGTACGAACGCATCGCTGTGAAACGGGCCTTAGTTTTGTCTGCAACACATGGTTTCTGTGAAACAAATAAAATATTTTTTCTATTTTTTTTTTGTTTTTAACACGTTCACCATGACGCGGTCCCGCGCAAAATCTGTTTGAATTCAAACAGCCTTTGCGCGGAAGCCGCGCCGTGGCTTCTCAATCAAACCGCCAATCAACCACGGACGACGCCGGCGCACGACACGCGCACCTGGAACCGTCGGCCGGCCGTCCGTCGAACCGGATTGTCAAGGCGACAAGGCGCGCTCTCTCGTCCTCACGACTCCAACACGGATAGACCGACACACATCCCCGCGAATTAAGAACAACTTATTTTTCTCTGTTTTGGTCGATACCTTTACTCAATCTGATATTGAATGTTCTTTGTTTTTTTTTTTTTGACTTTAACAATAAAAGTTAGTCACACCCGTGCGCCGTTTCGTTGTCTTTTTTTTGTTTTACCGTTATTACGGTTTTACACCGACCGACTCACCGCTATCACCACCAGCACATCATCATCCACGCGGCTCAACATAAGTCCGCGTCAACCACCGATCGCATTAATCAAACTATATTGTTATACCACAAAGGTTATTGGCTTACGGTATTTACATTTTTACATTTTTGGATATAAAACAATTATGGTTATTAGTAATTATTACTAATTCTAAGTTTAAGGGTGTACAAAATAGAGATAAATAATAGAATAGAAAAAAGAACAATGTAATCAAATAAGGTTGTACAGTTTTGTTTGCTGTAAAAACATTAGGGTGTTATTGAAGTTTTTGAGGTCGGGTCCGAGTATTTCGTAGAGGTGGTCCCGGGTCCGGGATATTTAGAGAAGTTTTGGTATCCGCGTATTTCCGACAGTGAAGAAGAACGTGTTCCACGGTGATGATTTCCCCGCAGGTTGTGCATTGGGTTGGATCTTCATGTCTAATGAGGAAGTTATGTGTAAGCCACGTATGGCCGATTCTTTGTCGGTTGACTATGACTTCATGACATCTCTTGGTGGTGAGTGTTGGCCAAGGGTTGATGGAAGGTTTGATTACATTTAATTTTGTGAGTGATGATGTCCAACGATGCTGCCACTGTTGCAGCGTCAGGGACCGTAATACTCCCTTGATATCGCCCAGGGAGCAGATTTGCACTAAGGAGGCTTCGGGTGAGGTTATGGCTCTTTTAGCGTAGGTGTCTGCTGTTTCGTTGCCAGGGATTCCGACATGGCTAGGAATCCATACCAGTGACACGTTTTGATTGTTGTGATTTAGGAGGGAAATTTGATTTTGAATCATTCTGGATATGGCATTGGGTTGGTTTATGTTGCGTATGCTGTTGATAGTACTATGAGAGTCACTTAATATGAGCGCTTTATCAATTTTGAGTTGTTGAATTGTTTCAAGTGCGTGATAAATCGCATAAGCTTCTGCTGTGTAGATTGAATAGAAGTTAGGAAATTTGATCATTTTTGGTGTATTGTTGAAGTATACCGATGCCCCAACTCCTGCTTCAGTTTTGGAACCGTCGGTGTAAAACTTGATGTAATCCTGATAGTCTTCAAGTAATGAAAGTGTCAGATTTCTAAAAGTATAGTCCATAGTCTCACTTTTGATGTGTTGAGAAAGATCAGTATTAGAGTGAATTTCCATCACCCAAGGAGGAGTGATAGCATGCTCATGTTTAAGTACTTCTGAACAATTGAACTTGAAGTTGTTGAGCTTTATTGTATTTTCTAAGTTGGGGGTAGTGTTATTATGTATTCTTCTAGCTTTTTGAAGTGTGGAGTTTTGCATTCTCCTTAGGTCAAGAGGAAGTGTGTTTGCAATATTGAGAATTCTTGAGATAGGGCTGGAACGGAATGCACCTGTGGCAAGTCTTAGAAATGAGTTATGAATAGTCTCTATCATTTTGAGTGCAGATTGTTTAGCGTCAATGTAAATGAAAGCACCATATTCTAATTTAGATAAAATGAGAGATTTATATATTTGTTTAAATGTGGTTCCGCTTGCTCCCCACGAGGTGTGAGCTAATGATTTGATGATGTTCAATTTTATTAGAGTTGCTTTTCTAATTTCTTTCAAGTGGGCCTGCCATGTATTCTTGTTGTCGAAGGTAATTCCGAGGATCTTAATGATTTTAGTGTATGGTATTGGGATGTTGCTTAACTTTACTTCTAAATTGTTATATTTTCTGAGCCTGGTAAAGAGCGATCAGCGAGATTTTGTGGGGGAGAAAGTGAAGCCAGTTTTAGTGGACCATTTTAATAGTGAGTCAATTGTATCCTGTAGGGCTGATTGGATGGAATTAGGGTTTTTTCCTCTGCAGAGGATATTTAAATCGTCTGCAAAAAGTGTAGATTGAACTGGAAATTTAATATTCTCACAAATATCGTTGGTGGCCATAAGAAATAGAGTAACTGATATAGTAGACCCTTGAGGGACACCGTTTGTTGAATGAAGGTGGGGGATAGATAATTGTTGATTTTCACTTGGAATGATCTATCCAATAAAAAATCCTTTATGAAATTGAACATTCTGCTATTACATAGGATGTTAATAAGTTTTTCCAGTATGTTTGGTCTCCAGGTTGTATCATAGGCTTTGGCTATATCTAGTGCAACTAGTCCTAGGACTTGTTTGTTTTTGAATGTTTTTTGAATGTTATCTTGGATGTCCTGCAGAGAATTGTAAATGCTTCTGTGTTTTCGAAAACCATTTTGTTGAGGAAAAAGATAATTTATTTTTTCTAAAAACCAATGCAATCTATTATTGATGATTTTTTCAAGCAGTTTGCACATCCTATTTAATAATGAGATGGGTCTGTAACTGTTTGATTTGAATTTGTCGTTACCGGGTTTTAGTACTATTGAATGTTTCCAGGATATGGGGAGCTTACCACAGTTCCAGATTTTGTTTTGAAGAATGTAGGTGAGTGCTGAAAGAGGTAAATTGTGTAAGAATATGTACGGAATATCATCGGGGCCTGGGGAGAGACTGGAACATTTTTTCAGGGCCCAATTCAGTTCCTTAAGAGAGATCGGAAGGTTTAGATGTACCTGGTCTTGTAAAGCAGGATCAATGTTGGAGATATACTGACTGTTTCTGTTTTGGATGTTAAAAGTCACAAAGTTCTTGTCGCAATTGTCATCGGAGCAGTTTGATTGGAAGGAGACTCCGAGGTGATTGGCCACATCAATAGGGTTTGTGTATATTGTGTTGTCAATGATTAAATGGGTGTGTTTTTCTCTACTTTGACCACGCAAGGATCTAACTTTGCTCCAAATTATGCTAGAGTCGATTTTGGGAGTGATGCTTGAAGTGAAGGATTTCCAAGACTTCTCTTTGCTCCTTTTTACAAGATATTTGGTCTTTGCCCTTAAATGTTTCAGTTTTATATGATCTTCAATTTTTCCTGAGTCTTGGAAGGTTTTTAGTGCTTTATTTTTGTTTTTGATTGCTTCTTTAATCTCAGAGTCCCACCACGGGACGTTGGGTTTTGTTGTTGAAATTTTGGTTTTGCCTATTGCCATGTTTGGCTGCGTTTATTATTGTCTCAGATATGTGAGTAACATCGATGTCAATTGAGTAGTCCGTTGGTGGAGTGTTCATATATAAATTGGTTTCGATTAGTTGTGTGAAGAGATCCCTGTTGGGATTTAGTAAAAAATTTAAAAAAATAATCTAGTTTTCGAAATTGATAAATCTAATCAAACAAATTACTTTCAGGAGCAGCTGTACGTCACTGCTAGCGAGACGCCACCACCAAATGTCGTAAGGATATATCTATATAATATTTAAGTGTTTGATATTGATAATTCTAATTGAACACGTCATTTTCAGGAAATTAGTGATGAATCCTACACGGCCGGGTCAATGAGATGTAAGGATACAATATAAATACTTTAGTTTTTGAAATTAATAATTCTAATCAAACATAATATTTTCAAGTACCCAGAGGCTCAAAAAAATGTATTTTGCATATTAAAGCATATTTTGGACATTAGAGAATATTTAGCCTATTTTTGATAAAAATTAAGTCATTTTATATATATTATATATTTCATTATATTTATATATCTACGTATAATATTCTGTATAATTTACCTGGAATGTTTTTAATATTATCTGCCAAATTGGATCCATTTTCCTCATCTTCACAACTGGTCAGGGTTGTTACGTTTAAAACATGTAAAAGCCTGAATTTTTTTTTTAAAATTTTTTTACTTATATCATGCAATTTTAGAGTCTAGTAGATTACTAGAACACAAATAAAATGCTTTGAAATTTTTTCCTCAGGCAATTTCCGAGAAAACAGATGTTACCATATGGTCACACTAGGCTACAATGAGGTGCAATTTAGTAATATAATGTTTATAAAGTAATAAATCAAAAATATTCATAGTTTTGTAGTACTTTTTATTCATCTGTTATTTTATTTAATTTAGAAATATTAGTTTAAGTAATGAAAATCTCAAGTATTTTTAGTTATAATATATAAGTAAATTTAAAAAATATAAAAAAAATCATTTGGTATGAAATGTTTTAAAACAATCAACACAAAGTCCAACATCGCACTTATTACACATTGTTCTAACTGAAGAAGTGCACATTGCTCTAGCACATCTTTTTCTTTTACCATCAACTGTTGGTATGACATGATGGTCAAGGCGGTTAAAACGAATACCCTTTGGAACTCTTGATGATGTGCTACTGGGTCGTCCTTTTCTTTTTGGAGCGTTTTTGAAACGTGTTAGATATTCTTGAACAATTGATCGTCTAAATTCTAACTGAGTAACTTTATGACCAGAATTAACATAAAGTTTCCATGAATTGGTTATAGCAACATCAATCAGCCATGTAAATAAAGACCACCACCATTTTTTACCTCGAATTCCAATTCTATGGCGAGCTATGTTTTCATCCATTTGGTCTGTTCCACCCATGTATTTATTGTACATGAAAACACAATTTGCCATATCAATTTGCACAATTTTCTTTTGTGTTTTAGAGTACCTTTTGTCTTACTTTGTGGGGTTACCCCGTGTACTGTTGAACCAATGGTGACTACCCCATTGTCTTTCCACCTTGCAAAAAACACTCCACTATTTTTTTCAATTGCCGATTCTGATTCTCCTCTTTCTTTTTTTTGCATAATTTTTTGATTTGACATGGGGCAGTTTTTGGGCAATCTATTTTCTCTCATAGTCCCTGTACCGTGATAACCATTCATTTTTAAAAACTTGAGCAAGTTGAGGCCAGTAAAAAGGTTGTCAAAATAAAATCTGTATGGTAAATTTTTCTTTTCCTTAGGAAATTCTTCAAGCATTTTTATAAATGGAGCTGTGCATTTCCCAAACATGTTTTCGTACAATACGTTTCTTTTCGGACTAATTCCTTGGTAAAAATCAAAATTAATGAGATACCCGTCTGGAGCATTCAAACACCAAATTTTATATCCAAATCGGATTGGTTTGCCGCGTATAAATTGCTTGCAGCTATGTTTTCCGAAATATTTGACCATTAATTCATCGAAATTTAAATTGTGAGAGGGTACGAAATGATTTAAAAATTTATCTTTTAACATATCCATTACTGGCCTCAGTTTCCAAACTTTGTCGTTTACATTCATTTCATTATTATTAGCACAATGTATAAAACGCATAATTAAAATAAAGCGATCTCTGCGCATTGCTTCTTTGACTAATGAATTCCTTACATCATCTGATGAGTCCCAATAAAACCGTTTCCCAGGAAGTCCATTATATCCACTTAGTACCAATATACCAATAAAGCATTTAATTTCATCATTAGTGACATCAAAATCGTTAACATTTTTGAAAAGTGCATATAATTTGGATTGCTCTACTAAATATGAAATAAGTTTATCGTCAAAAAAAAGTTCAAATATTTCAACCAGTCTCATATGCGAATATTTAGAAAAATCTGTAGTTGGGAAATTCAAATCAGGCATTTCATAGTCACCTTTTACCCAATCAGTAGTTTTTTCGTTATCAGGTATATTGAAATCAGTGCAGTCTTCCAACTCGGTAACAGTTTCGAGTGCAATCGTATTTTCATTTACAATGTTATTTCCACTTTTCAACCTAAAAAAAATTACAAATATTTTTAAGTATATTGCATTTTTTCATTGCAGAACATAATATATTACCTTATTTCTACGCCGGCAGTTAATTGACGAGCTGATAAATTACAAGTATATGCACCTTCATCTTCATTGCCTGAATCTTCATCAGTCAATACGTGAGGGTCTGGTGGTTCAATAAATATACTTTCGACATCATTTTCGTCATAATTTGACTCAATGATGTCGAGAAGTTCTTGTAAGGTTAATCCATCTCTGTAGTTCAAAAAAATAATATTTATAATACTGTATACATGATAAAAATTATATTTTATAAATTATTATAGAAAAATATAGGTAGTATCAATATATGTTTTGTTTTCAACAGACAAAAGCCTAAAGCACCCATACGGTAACGCACATATTTCCAAGTACACTACACAGTATGTAATTGTAATGTGAAAGTAGAACCTTTTTTGTATTAAGCATACAGACACAAAGATTCAAAAAAATTATTAATAATACATTAGAATAAAATATTTATATATAATTATACTTCCTCTAGTTGAAAATTCATTGCCGTAAAAAAATCTGTAGCTGAACAAAACGGAATAATCGTTATAAATATTATGAACTGTCGTTAGATGGTAACCACACTACTAGTAAAATCGATAAACATACGGAGAATCAATTGCTATGATTAGATAAGAAAAATATAACCACGGACCACGGACTATTATACTGGACTGGAAACGAGACGTTTACCACCGGGCCGCTTAGTGTCCGCGTGAGAGGTGTAGTAAGGGGGAATTGTACATGAGCTAATCTAGCGCCATCTATACTTCAAACTAACTATTATATATTATGATATTATGATTATTATACATATAAATAGCTTCATTAGGTACTATAATAACTATAAAAAAATAATAAGTGATTTATTCACGGACTATTATGTGTTACTAGTTAGCACTATTACTAGTGTTTTATAGCAAATTAGACTGACTATAAAGTTTATGGCATAAAAATGCGTAAATGTTCAGTGTCTGGGTGTAACAGCCAAAATCGTAATATTAAAGTGACACTTTTCAGTGTCACAAATGCGAATAAGTCATCTTGGGAATCAGAAATCCGTAGTTCAATTAATAATCAGGTAAAAGATATAAAGTATGTTTGCTCAGAACATTTTTTACCTAAAGATATTAATACTACATACCCAATACCATCAGATGTAATCGAAGTAAGAGTTAAAATAAATAGGTTTTTAAAGGAATTTGGTATTAAAATTAATTTAAGTTAAAGGAATTCGGACAGAAAAAAGTGTTCTCATTGAAGAAGGGGGCTATTCCCTCATTATTCAACCAAATACTTTCTCGTAGTGATAGTACTCAATATGAACCAAAAACTCACTCTGCTAGAAGAGAACTTTTTACAGCAGAAGTAATTACTGAAAATATATTGATTTTATATTTTTTTATTACATTACTTATGTATTAATATTTTTAGGCTCCCAAAATTCTTAAAAGAAATGTTGATTCTGTTGATTCGACTTCAAACTGTACATCATGCAAACAGATTTGTTTAGTAGATATAAAAGTAAATATTAATTATAAAAAATAATTTATTTTCTAATAGCACTTATATATGCAATATTAAAATCATTTTGTCTAGAAACAAAAGTTTGTAATTGATCCAGTAAGCTTGCCACTTGGTTGGGCAAGTTATAACAACAACAATACTGTAGTGTTTTTCAAACCAGTTTACTTGATTGATAAACTTGTAATTGAAAAACAAATTGTAATAAAAAATGATGAAGTCGCCAGTTTTTATATTTTCAATAAGTTGATAGATCCTACAAATGCAGGGTTGATTCAAATCAAATTTCCTGTAAACAATAAAAATGTGTTAGAAGCAATAAAATATTTTCATTGCAAACAAATTTGTCAAGGTGGACCAATGGTTATTAATTTTCCAGGTAAGAGATTTCTTATTTTATGATGTAATAAAACATAGTAACAATATGATTAATTTGTTAATTAAATTTGTTTGCATGGTAATAAATGAATATACAAATTACAGTTCATATAATATGATATAATATATTATAAAATAGTTTATAATTATTAATTAGTTTGATGTCAAATGTATTTGTTTAGGAGTACATTGTAAGACTGCAGTACTTGATAATGAGTTATGGCGTCATCAATTGTGTTCTATATTAGTAGACACAAAAAAAAGATGCCTAAAATGTGACAATTTATACCGGCAATTTAGGAGGTCCAAGTCAGTAGCTATTGCATCAAAACGAATTGGACCTACGCTTACTCCTACTCGACGTCGTTGGTTAAATAATATTTTTAAAATGAAGAAGAATGCTAACAAATCAAATTCAAGGTGAAATTATTTGACAAATTATAATATAATATTATTACATGACATTGACATTGACATTAATAAATTAATATCAACAGGTTTCGATTAACTATTGCCAAATTAAATTCAGTGTTAGCTGTTGTCCAAAACAAAACAGCAAATTTGTCAGATAGTACATTAAACACATTATTTGTATCACATAGTTTTAACGATTCTCAGAAAACAATAATTCAAGAAATTGTTAATTCTAGTAAAGCACCTAAACCCAATAATAGGAGATATTCAGAAAATTGGATTCTGTTATGCATTTTGTTAAAAATAAGGTAACAATTTTTACTACACAATAATTATTTCTATAAATTGGGTGTGAATTCAAAAATCAAACAAGCTTATATTAAAATTATTTGTATATATTTTATGTACAGGTCAACTTCAACATACACATTTTTAAGAGAGCAAGAGATACTTCCTTTACCTTGCACTCGTACTATCAGAACATATTTATCACTAGTTAGAACTCAATGTGGCTTTGATGAAAAATTTTTTTTATTGTTTAAAAAAAAAATGACAATACTGAATCATCAACAAAAGCATGGTATGCTTGTATTTGATGAAATATTTTTGCGGGAAAGCATAAATGTGAATTGACAGACACTAACATACTCTGGTTTGGAGGATTTTGGTGGAGAAGTTAAAAGTACAGGGTTGAAAGCTAACCATGGGTTAGTTTTCCTTTTTCAGAGTCTTACAGTTAACTTCACCCAACCAATTGCAGTCTTCACTTCAAAAGGACCAGTTAAAGGTAATATATATACTGTGAAAAATATAATACAAACAAATGTCATATTTTAGTTAAATTATCATATGATTACATTTAATGATTTTACATAACATGTACCTAATATTTTTGATTTTGAAACATTTTAATTACTAATATATGGGTTCTGTTTGCATATGTTGCGTGTATTTAATCATTGTGCCTGTGATGGGAGAGTTTATGTTTGTATTTAACAATTAGTTGCATTGGCAATAAGTATATGTTTAGTGAATCCTAATTCATTATTTGTGATTTGTGTCGTATTGGAATTATTTGAAATCTCTGTTGTGAATACAATATTTGGTGAGCATGTTTTTAATTTAATGTATAAAAAGCCTGTATTGAAAATAAATTAATATTGAAACTAATACATTACAGGAACAGTATTAGCACAACTAGTGATAAAAGCTATATGCCTATTAGAAAGAGCTGGAGCAATAATAGATGGAGTAGTTTCTGATGGAGCTACTACTAATCGTAAGCTCTGGTCACAGTTAGGCATAAGTGGTGAGATAGGAAAAATCACTAATGCTTTTCAACATCCTTTGGACTCTAAAAGAAGAATTTACATGTTATCAGACCCTCCGCATTTGATCAAAAATGTCCGCAACAGATTATACAATAAGAAGGCATTGAGAGTAAATCATATAATCAACGCAACTTTAGATATTTACAAAATCTTATATTTATTATTTTGTAGGAATCGCCAAATGTGAGTTATGTAAGGTGGTCACATTATGTGGATGTGCATACAAATGATTTAAAAAGAGATTCAAATTCTCCATCAAGAGTGTGTCCAAAAATCACCCAGAGACATTTAGCACTTGATAATTTCAGTAAAATGAGCGTAAAATTAGCAACCCAGGTTAGGTTAGGTTTTTATTAGTTCTAATAATTATAATTATAAATAACAATTGAATTACTAAAATGGTTTCACAGATTTTTAGTAATTCAATGGCCAAAGGGATTGAGTATTATAGGTGTTACGAAAAAGTGGAATCTCTTAAAAATAGTGAAAACACACAATTATTTACAGAGCGTTTAAATCAATTGTTTGACGCTTTAAATCGGAAGTTTCCAGCAGAGGGCATTAAAAGTAAAAGCAATGACTTTGATGTAAGTGAAATGATAATCTAGTTATATATTACTATAATTATTTATATGGTTATAAATACAGAAAACATAAAATTGCCTATAATTAGGTACTTAGTTTGCTACCTAGGTAGTTAAATAATAACTAAATTATTCTAATAGCTTTGTTCAATTAAATTAGGTATTAGAAAAAACATTAAAATGGCTTGATTTATGGGAAGACAATGTCATTAATCATACCATACCTGAGGATGAATTTCTCACAAAATCAACTGCTGAAGGTTTGCGAGTTACTATCAAATCAGTAATTGAGTTGTCCAAATATCTCTTGGAAGAATGTGAGTTCAAATATGTTTTAACATCCAAAATGAACCAAGATCGTGTAGAAGTAAATAAACACAAATTTTTAAATTAAGTTTAATGCATATTAACACATCATATTTTCTACCTATCAATAGCAATTTTTCGGTATGGCACGACAAGCTACGGGTCCTAATGATCACCCAAACTGTCCTACGTTTTTACAAGTATATAAAATGCTAACTATGTATTCGATACTAAAGCCTCCTAAAACTGGAAACTGCATGATACTGGATTCAACAACACCAAAAATTACAATTAGTGATCTTAAGAATGTTTTTAGTAAATATGATACACCAGAAAGACAAATAAAAATTAATAAACTTACAGAGAGGCTTGATACATTAGTTACACAAGATGTGGAAGTGGATGATGTATTTCAACCAGATATTTTTATTGATCATAACTATTACAAATCTAACTCAGAAACTTGTGTGTTATATTATATATGTGGGTTTGTTTCAAGACATATAAACAAACATATTAAGTGCAGTGATTGTCAACAAGCAGTATTAGGTAAGCATTTAATTATAAAAATTAATTAATTTTAAATACTTTTTAAACATTACCTATGATGTGTAGGAAAAACTTCATATTGTGATTCGCCTGAAGCAACACTGACAAATATGAAATCTAGAGGGGGTTTATGCCACCCAAACATGTTTTTGTTTCATTTGTTGGTAGACATAGAAGACTCATTCAAAAAGTTTTGTGATGAATATGATGTTTTTGAATTGACTGTTGATGATTTCTTTAACAAAAAACAACAACTGATAAAAACATTTCCATGCGCTACTCATAAAAGTGAGATACTTACCTTTATAATATCATACTACATTACAACAAGAATGCATCAGTACACAAAAATCTCAAACATAGACCAACATAAAAATAATGCAAAAAAGAAGAAAAATTCAAAATTTGTTAATACATAACAGTAATTATTGGTGTCAAAATATATGTATATTATATCATTAAAAAAAATATATTAAATGTATTTAACGACGTGTATTTAACTACAATTTTATAATATTAAATATTAATATACCTAGTTATTTAGGTATTTATTCTAAAATGTAATTTACAAATTTACAATAATAATAAATTACTTCGGCGTAGTGCGTAGCGTACCACGGTTAATACGTTTGAAAGAATAGTATGCCTGTGGTACACCAGGCTGCGCTAGATTAGCTCACGTACTATTCCCCTTTCTACACCTCTCTCGCGGACACTAAGCAGACCGGTCCCCCGTCACCCGCCTCCCTTGACGTTTCCAGTCCAGTATAATAGTCCGTGCCACGGACGTTGTTTACGTCTGACTTATAAATAGATTTTGTTGTGTACCATATGGACACACCAGGCGTTGAAGGGTTAACATGTTTTAAACAATAAAAATATATTTTTTTAGTAAATTTATTAAAATGTATTTTAAAAATACAACAAAAAATTTCCTTTTTTGGTTTTATAATTTTATATACTGACATAATATATTAATATTAATATATAATAATTTTTAATATAATATTACTTGTTGAGTATAATGAGAATGTTCAATGTTGAGATGCTTACAAATTAAAATTAAAATTAACAAGACTTTTTTTTATATAATTGCATATATAATTTAATTAATAATAGTACACGTAGTCCATGGAGACTTGAGATGCTTAAATAAAAATTAACAATTCTTCCTTTTATAGTTTTATATAATAGCATGTGCCATAATCATAAATTATATAATATTATTTGTTGAGATGCTTAAAAACGGTTACTAATTTTGAGCATTTTTCGACGCCCAAACGATTTCTGGATTTTGAATGTATAAAACCAAATGATGAAAATAATCTTTCTATTTCTGCTGAAGCTGAACTACATACAGCTGTAAATAACTGCATTGTCAATTTGTTAAGATCATTTGATATTAATTCCCTTTTAAATAAAACGCTCCACCATGCCATCGGACTGTTATTATTAACAGTGTCAGAGTTAAATAACTAAAATAAATATGGTTTAAATGGAGCACATTGTGCTTGATAATTTATTATTTCAGCTAATACATTTGGATGGTAACTGTAGATGTACTGCAATGCTGAATCAGATTCTTCAGATAAACGAGTGCCGTTATATTTAGGCTAAAAAATGTGGTGGTGTCACAGCCATATCATATCTATCTTTCAGTTTTTCAATCTCACTTGAGTCACAATTTTTTCAAAAAAATCTAATAAATCTTTCCAGACATCAATTGCCTCACTCAATGTGCAAGAATCTTTTTGTATTTTATCTAATGAGATTGATATCATTTTTAGTTTTTAAAGTAATCTTCAGCATTTCTTTTCATTTCCATATCTTCTATTTTTCTTATTATAGTGGCGTCAATAGCTGCACGGTTGTTTGAACAAACTGAACTCAAAATATGCCAATTATCTAGATAGGACTGTAGGCAATCAGAAAAAGTGTTCCAGCGCATATCAGATGGTAAGATTAATGTTTTACCACCTGCCTGTTTATATTTGCTCCTATTTTATGACTATTTCTAAAATACTTTATGACTTGTTTGATATTTGATTTTATACTATTAACTTCTAAATCGTGTGCCAATAAATTTAAAATATGTGCATCCATATGTTATAATATCATGTACATTATTATTAACTGCACCAATTTCATCAATTTGATCAAGTTCTTCTCTCATTTTGGCCATATTAGCAGAATTGTCAGTGACAAAGCTTCGAACTATACAATCGTATTTTTGTTTATGGCCTCTACAGCTAAATTTAATAAATATTCTGAATTATGAGAGTTATCTTGATTCTTGATTGTTCAACCAAAAAAACCGATTTTTCAATGTCATAAACAGAAATACATACTACAGGTTCATTATGGATATTGCACCATCCATCCATTGACATGCATACACTTTTACCCCTTGATTGAGATTTCATTTTAGAAATAGTTACATTAAATACCTCATCGAACAAATTATTTGCAATATTATGCCTATTTGGTAATTTGTAACCAGGTCTTAGTTGATTTATTAATTTTACAAATTCCGGATGTTCCACATGTCTAAATGGTGTGTTAGTACTATAAAAAAATTTTGCCGTATGTAAATCAAACTTTTTTTTATCTATCTGAGTTTTCCGAATAACAAAATATCCTATGGCATTTTTAGATGTTTGTTGGGTACCTTTTTTTGTGATTGAAGAGGACAAACTAGAAATAGTAGATGTTGAGGCAGTTATAACTATAGTGTGTTAGTTTCAATTTCACATACTTCATTTGATATATCAATCATAATGTTATGGCTAAGATTTTCATGGTTTGATAAATCCATAAAGTAAACAAAATGTTAAATAATTAAAAAATATTTTTAATAATATATTTATACAACTATGAGTTGATTGTTAGGGCTAAAGCTAAATGTGTAGTTGATAATTTATTCATTCATATTTCATAGTATGGGACAATTATTAGTTATTAATACTTTTTACCTAGTTATTATAAAACATTGGCAGAATTGTTGTATAGAACAAACTACACATTTTGTGTACAAAATACAAACTAAAATGAAATATTAAAAATGTTATTCAAAAGTCAATACCATCTACACAGATACATATATATTTAAATATTCAGATAAACTATTTAGTATTTAGAAGTTTAGACACTTTAACAGAAATGTAGAAATGTATGAACTATTGATTACCGTTGGAGCCATTGGATAAGCTTTGGCGATCTTCAGTATCGCCTGTATCACAAGTGTTATGGTCTTCCACAACTTCAACATCAATTTGGCATTTAACCAAATGTTCTTTCATCCTCTTAACGGGAGAAGACATTTCTTTAGAACATTTTTTACATCCAATATAAAAAATGTTATCAGAATAATAAAAATAAAAATAAAACTAATTATTAAATAGGTACAAAAATAAAATGACATATTTTTACCAATTTTTTTTTTATATTTTAGACTTAGTAGTAGGTAATAACATTATTAGATATTGCTTATTACTTAAATACCTATACTATATTATAGTATATTAGTTATATTAGTTATTAGTACCTACAGGTATAACTGTATTAAGTTAAAGTATGCCTACATATTACCATTGATTATAAATACTAATATTTATGATCAATTATATAATATACAATATTTATACCTAATGTCTAGTAACAAAATACTTTTAGTCTTTACCTATACTATAGTTTAAAGTAGGTAAAGTAGGTAAAATAGTATAATAATATATGATTTTACTTACCTCGCTCTGGTAGTTTTAAATGCACCATTTGGAGTCAATTTAACGAACTCCAAATATTATCCTGTGGTCTACCACTGAATAGAGCCATTTATACATTTTACTAATAGTAAAATGTAAAAACTAAAAACACGAGGCACGAGGCTGGAGGCACAAATTATATTTTACAATAAATATATATACTGGGTGATTCTTTTATCAAACAACACTCATTATTTCAAAAAGTATAAACAACTCTTTTTTTGATGTTTGCAATTTCAATGTAATACATTTACAATTTCAAATCAAATATTAGTATAATATAAATAATTCACCATACATAGCTTCAATAGTTGTAATATACTTTGTAGGACTAGCAGGGTTGATACGCACTCACTATTTCTCACTATATTTGAGTGTGCTCACTTTTTCGCACTTATTTCATCGATTCCTCACTTTTTTAAAGATCTTTAAATGTAAATAAGTGTTTAAATTAAATATTGATGTTTTGCAATATGTTTAAAGACTATTTTTAAAAATAAAAAAAATGAATTGCGGAATAAAAATCCCCAGACTACAATATTACTCATAACTTCATGAAAATGGTTGAACAAATATTTTTTAAACACTTATTAGTATCTATAATTACCACATTATTAATATTTAATTACAAATACGTAAATTATATTGTATTATACTATATTATAATATCATTAAAAAAATTAATATACATAATACTATAATATCAGTTTCTACAGTTGTTATATTTGTTGGATACCTACATTTTATTTATGTTATATAATTTAGGTACTGTAGGTAGAACCAATTATTATTAATATTTAAACAAAATTGTTTTAAAAGTATAATTTATAACTTGTTTATAATAAACTGAAAAAGTAAAAAACAACTGAAAATATTTTAAACTATTGTATTTTATTTTTATGTTTTTGTTTAAAAAAACTCACCTATAATATGAAAATAATACTCACTTTTTACTAGAATATTACTCACTTAATTGAAAAAAAAATACTCACTATTCTCACTTTTTTTAAGAAAAAAATTAGTAGCAACCCTGGACTAGGTCTTTTTGACCAATCACATGAATTTAATCAATATGTAGGTTAGGTATTTAAATAACAATGACATACATCCAAATATACATATAGGGCACTGATCAACTTATATAATTATATTTTATGTAAAAAAAAAAAAAATATTTTCAATGTCGTGAATAGGGTTTGAGACCATTGGCGCAACTAGAGGGTGCAAACGGGTCTTTAGCACCTCTTGTTTTTTTAGATTTAACTATCATTATTATAGTGAAATACCCCCAATTTAATGTTTTTAAAATATGAAATATTATAGCACCCCACGTTTTAAATTTTGTATTCTATATTATTACTTTTATTATGAGGTTTTTGAAAATTATGAAAATAAAATAACTAATTTTTGTATATTTATATTTTATATTTTTTTGTTACCGGACATATTTTTGTTGTTACCCATTTTTTATATGCCTATTTATATTTTATATTACTTTTAAAATGACGTTTTTGAAAATTATGAAAATAAAATAACAACTAATTAAAAAAAAACTATATATTTATATTTTATATTTTTTTGTTACCGGACATTTTTTAGCAGGATATTTTTGGTACAAGTTCTTTTTGAACCGGATCAAATGTCGTGGATCAATTGTCGCCGGATATAATTTACCGGACCAAATGACGTGGAACCCAGTTGGGCGATGCCACAAGTTTGAACTTAAACAGCTTGGACTTAAAGTTCCCATGCCCTGTTAGCAGCTGTGTTGTATAATGATCTAGCGGCATGGGCAACTTATACCGCTCTCGCACGCTAGGGATCATGGTCTTTGTCCACTCACCTTTGTCTGTGGTCTCGTATCTTTCCTGCCATTTGGCGAATATGATTGACTCATGGTCTTTGAACTGATCCTGGGTTATGCCCCCTCTCTTTAACTGCTTTTGAAGGACGCTTTTCTCTACCTCTAGGTCAAGTGGTAGCACGCCTGCCACTACCGAAAGGCAGTTGGTCGACGATGTCCTGTATGCTGCGGTCATTGCTAGCAGTGGTGGCCTCTGTATGCTGCCAAGTTTTTTGATCGACTTTTTCAGTTTGGCACCTTCCGCCCATATTTCAGATGCGTACGTAACTCTGGGCAGGAACACCCCTTTATATGTTGTTCTTGATGTCAGTTGGCTAATGCCCCAGTTTGCTGAGGCTAGGTTCCTAAGCCTGCTGTACAGGCTCTTCGATTTTTCGGTCAGAGATTCTACGTGACCCCAGTACCCCTCTCTTGGGTCCAGGATTACTCCAAAGTATTTAACAGTACCATCAGCTGTAATTCTAGGGCCGGCCACATCCGTGCCGAACCCTACTTCATAACCCGGTTTGACTCCACCCTTGATCGACATGACCTGAGTCTTTGTCGGGGAGAAGGACAGGTTGTATGTGCTGGCCCAACTCTTTATCTTATCTAGATATTTTTCCGTTCTCGCCACAACTGTGTCATGCTTGGCTGCCCCAACCAGGAGGGCGATGTCATCTGCGTAAGCGATGACCTTGATATTAGGTTCTTGCGGCAGAGCTAGCAGTTCAGACATTGCAACTTTCCATAGGGTAGGCCCTAGCTGTGATCCCTGAGGGCAGCCTCTCTCCATCTTCTTTTCATGTTTTGCCTTTTTCAACGTCAGTTGGGCAAATCTATTCTTCAAGTATGACTCAGTCATTCGGGTCGTGTTCAGTGAGGCACCAATTTTCCCCAGCTGGCTAAGCAGCGGGGTCCAGCTTACGTTGTCGAACACCCCCGTTATATCCAGGAACGTACACATAACGTGCCTGCTCTTTGTCTAATGGACCCATCGATAGAGTGTATTTATGGCCGTGATCGTGGACTTGCCTTGTACGAATCCATGTTGTTCGCCTATGTTACTTAGGCTTGTCTCGTCCTCAATCTTCTTTATGAGGAAGGTCTCTAGTGCCTTTAACAGGACCGGCAGTAGACTTATCGGTCTATAGGCACCCGTGGTCGCCGGATCCTTATCCCCTCCTTTAGGGATCACAATAACGTTAGCCCTTCACCAGCTGATGGGGAAGTAGCTCTTTCTTAGCTCTGTGCCATAGGGTTTTGTCTGGGTTGGCCCGATTACCGGCCATGCTTTCCTTATAATTTTGGCGGCGAGTCCATCTAGTCCGGGCGCTTTGTTTGGCTTTACCCGCCACACTGAGGCTTTAACCTCCGAGACCGAGGGTGGTTCCCCGCGATCATCCAGAGGTCCATGGTAGTCGGAGGTTTCACCGTCCAGCTCATCTGGGACAAAAGCCTTCAATAATAGTTCCGCCGTTTCTTCAACGGTCTCTGTGTAGGAACCATCTAACCTCCGAAGGTTACCCTGCACCGTGTTTGGGGGAGCGCCCTTCCTTTTCGCCCACCTGAAGGCTTTGCTCCAAGGGTTCACGTTGAGGTCTCCTGCCAAGGCTTGCCATGTCGCCATCTTTGCCCTTCTGATCTCCGCGAGGTATTTATTGCGGTGCGCTCTATAGACCTCCGGTTCGTTACTCCTCTGTCCAAGTCTTCGAGACCTCTCTAGCGCCTTTTTAAACACGGTCAGTTCAGGGGTCCACCATGCCTGTCTTCCTGGTGGGTGGCCAGTCGATTTCGTGCGCGGGATAGATGAGTCTGCCGCAGACTTTAGCAGCGTTACCAGGCTATTCGCATGGCTGTCTATAGTCTGCTCATCAATGTCCCCAACATTGTTCACCAAGTACTCAGTCATTTTGACCCAATCTGCCTTATCCGTACGGTACCTTGTAATACCAAGCTCAGGGCGTGGTGTTGCCATTGCGGCGTCAAAGCTGATCACTCTGTGATCGCTATCTGTGTCATTGGTGACAGACCAGTTCGTCACTTGGCCCACCATATTATCTGTTACTAGGGTCACATCAATGTTGGATGAGCCCATTCCAGGCTGATCATAGGTGTTCATCGTTCCTCTTTGGTTCATCGTATGGAGCAAGTAGTCGTCAATGAGATCTTCGACCTGGCGTCCTCTCTCATTACTCTCCGGGGAGTGCCATAGGGTCGGTTACCCATTCACTTCGAGTATCGGCCGGAGTTGCTCGATAAAGCCATTGGTTGGCATTGAGTACTTAAAATATGAGGAAACGACTGTGACTGCCTGGTCTCTTGCACCTATGCTAACAGCTACAGTATAGTGAGTCTTATACTGCTCTAGGCTGAGCACCTGCAATTCATTGTTCAATATGATGATGGCAGCACCGGCTTTATTGCCTGAATGGACCTGTCTGTACTGTTCGAAGCCAACAACTTTGCCTTGCGACATCACTGGTTCCTGTAATAACACCAGGTCTGCTCTGTTTTCTTTGCAAGAGTCAGCTAACTGGTGACTCGCCATTCTTTGTTTATTGAGGTTTTTCTGTACTATTTTGACGGTTCCGGTCATTGGGTTCTGAAATCCGTACGCCTGATAAGGCTCCTAGCTGCCTGTCCCCTGGCTTTGAATATTGCGCTTGACGCCTTGTGGGGTCCCTTACAGTTCTCACACTTCACCCCGTAATCCTTACAAGCCCGGGAGTCGTGTGCGCCCGCGCAGTTCCTGCACGAAGGCGTCTTCTGTTCGCATCTAGCAGATGTATGCCCGAATTGTTGGCAGTTATAACACTGAGGTAATGTGCTGTGCAATTTGCACCTGCATCTAGTCATGCCCATATATAGCGATTTGTTCTCTATCTTGGCGAGAACACTTGGGGGAACTTCCATAATCCAGTGGACCACATCGCTGCTGCGCGGGCCCAGCTTGTGAAGCGGCATAGAGTTGCCCATATCTTCTGCCGTAATGCCAAGCTCTGCGTTCTGCGCCACCAGACACTCGGTCAGTTCGTCCTTACAGATGCCGCCGTCAACGTCATATATTATGACTCCGAGCTTTTTCGGGCCTATCTCTATAATGTTGTCAATGCCTCTTATCACCTCCAACGTATTGGCATCATCCGGGATTATGACGAGTGACTTACCACTTACTATGGTCTTTGCCTTCGGATTGCTGCACTTCGCCTTAACTGCATGCCAGACTCCCGCTTTCGCGTTCACCACTGACATGTTCTGCGGTATCTCGATAACGAACCGAGATGTCGCTTTAACTTTCCTACTCTTATTAATTTGGTCCCTCTCGGCCGTCTTCTTGGACTTAACCGGGGGCGCGCTTGCGGTTTTCGGCACAGCTGTTGTTCTTGGCGCTGTATTCGCCGCCATATCGGCGTACGAGGACTGTTGTGTGAGAGCCGGGCTTGGCGCTACCGTGGTGGCCTTTAACGCGTCCAGTTCGACTCTCAGGCCGCTGGCTTCGACGTTCTTCATGTCAAGTTTTTCGATGAACACGGTGAGGCTCTGTTGGAGGGCTTCATCTTTGCCCTTCAGCTCGCCGGCAAGTCTGCTATTTTCAAGTGCCATGGTCTGAGCTGCCGTTCTAAGCCTGTTAATTTTATCAAGCATTTTCTCTGCCACTTGCACTCTATTTTCTTTTTGTATTTTTCCTGGATGACTGTATGTTCAATCCAGCCAATCAGTTCGTTTATTTCACCTGCCTGTTTCGAGATACGGGGTAGTTTAGACGGTAATCCACCTGGCGAGGGTGGACCCCGCTTATTGCTGCCTCCAGCACCCATGCCACCACTCATGCTACCGGAATGTGTCATTTCCGAGTCATCGTTGTCACCTCCTCCCCTAAGCCTAAGCGGGGCTAGGTAGCAGTGTCCGTTAGTCAAGTCCGCATCTTTATAATCCATATATACCATCATACTTTTTATTTTGTGTATTCATATTAGTGTTGTTTTGAGGGGATCGCCCTCTGGTAGGCTTACACACTCTGGCCGCCGGCGAGCTAGATCGGCGGTTGCATATTGTAATGGGATTACGCAATTCATGTACAACGCTCATAATAACAAGAACCACTTATGTGGACAGCGGCCTCGTCGACCTCACCCAAAAGTGGTCATAGCTAGAATAGACGCTTCAAACCACAACAACTTCCCAAGGGCGCCTACATGCCACGCGCCGCTCAATTCAAAGGGCGTCGCCTTCGTATATTCGTATATATAGAGGCCAGGGCCTCAATACACATTAGATGTACCAGAGCCGCCAAGACCGAGCGAGCAGCTTCAGCACCAGCCATTACACACGACTTACATGGAGATTATCGACTACTACAACGAGTCAACTCACGACGCTGCAATTCACCACGACTTTATTAATTATTATTGGTTTTAATAAATTACAATTGATTTATATTTAAATTGACTACATTTTATTGTAAAATTGCAACACCTTTTGGATCCCCGAAGGGCCATACGTAACACTGGCGCAGTCGGTAGGATTTCTTTCAAAGGAGGCAACCCGTCAAAGACTACCGTCAACAAAGAAGAACTGTACACTCTTCCGAGAAGACAACTCCAAGAAAAACCATCAAAAACAAATAAGTCACGTACCAACAAATCCATCAGCACCATCAGCATGTCATCAGTAACCAGGAACACAGCATTATTGTGAGTGAATAGTTATTTAAATTTGTTACATAGACGCATGCAACATAATTAGGACATATTAGATAATTCTAAGTAGTTGACTATAAGTAAAATGGTGTAAAACGTTTTAAATTTTATTGAGGGCATATTTTATTATTGAAGATTATTATTGAATTTATTATTGATTTATTGAGGGCATATTTATTATTGATTATTATTTGAAGTTATTGAGGGCATTTTATTATTGAAGTATTATTGAAGTTTATTTGAATTTATTAGAGGGCGTATTATTGAAGTTATTATTGAATTTAAAGGGCATTTTTGAGTATTATTATTATGAGTATTTACGTATTAAATAGGTAGCTAAGTAATTTATGGACAAAGAAGGTACATCTCCCTTGAACGTAGCTAATTCATTGTATAACACTAGTGTAGTAGAAGAAGCCCAGTTTTTTGCCCAGAAGGAAGCCCAAGCCCATTTTGATGCCCAACAGAAAGCCCAGTTGAATATTGTAGTAGAAACTCAGTTAGGAGATAGCGCAAGTAGAAACCCAAGTCCAGGAGTAATCACACGTAGCCAACTTACAGATAGTTTTGAACATAAGTCATTAGAATTTTTACCTATAACACGCATTAAAAAAATGGTAGTCATAAAATTAGAAGACGCTTTTAAATTAATTCCACTATGCACAGGAATAGACGATATCTATCAATTCATAAATACATGCAATATGGCAGTAAGCTTAGTCGACACAGACAGTGCACCAACACTAGTAAAATATATTACCACACGTTTAACGGGTAGAGCATTAGAAATGATTAAATACAAAAAAGTATCGAAATGGCAGTTTATAAAAATTTATTTAAGAGATGCATTTGAGGTAACGACCACGGCATCGTCGTTACAACTTCAATTAAATTCGATTAGAATGTCATAGAGTAGAGAAGCTAAATTATCAGTTATGTTCTAAGTACATTAGGCAAAGAAGCTGCAGAAGCAAAAATTATACATGATATATTAAGGGAACAAACTCTAGCGATATTTATTAAAGGATTAGTAGAACCGATTAGAACAATAGTAAAATCTCGTAATCCCAAAACCCTGGAGATCGCGAAACAATTTGCTATGTCGGAACAGGTGGAACTAAGATTAGAACAGGATAATAGGAACCATTATTCGAATATTCATTCACAAAATTATAATCAGCGCAGATCGAATTACGAGAATAGGAACAACGAAAACATTAGACCAAATAACCCTGTAAGGACAAATAATTAAAACAAACAATTTTTCTCAACCAATCAATAGGCCAGCAATAAAGTGCTATAATTGTAATGGTAATCATTATGCATCTCAATGTAGGAATAATACGAGACCTAGTTATGCGAGCAAAATAACATCCGTCCACCTGATAGGAATAATTTTACGCAACCACCTACGAATTATAATATACAGGTAGTTACGTGTTCGTACTGTAATCGAACTGGTCATAATATCGACTCGTGTTATAAAAAGAGAAACGATGAAAGTAGAAACGTTAATAATTCGGAAAACGAAAACTTGTCGAACGAGAGGCGCGGTACTCGTACGATAAACCAGATTATCGCGGAACAACCTACTCACGAATATTTCACATATTCTCAACCTTAGAAAATAATCATATAACATTTAATTCATTCGCCGCTAACACAAATCAATTACAAATACGTCACAAACCCGGAGTTCTAAATTCAAATGTAGATACTCTCACACGCATATATTCAATTCAGGAAATAAAAAACGAATCATACGAACAATATATCGAAAAGTTAGGAACACAAATTATCACAAATATTAATGTAAAAGAAACTAAAGGTACACTAATAGATACACCAAAAGAATATAATATAGTATCAGAAATTGCCAAGCAATATAATTTTATTACATGAACAAATTATCAGTTGAAAAAACAATTCGGAAACGGTACAATATTGCCAACTAGTAAAGTAATAAGAGACACACCCTATTTCAAACAGGAAAACAGGTTTATAATATTCTTAGTAACGAAAAACAAAGACCGACAGAAGGCCACTTATGAAAGAATATATGTATCACTAATAAATTTAAAACTATTTTGTAAGGAAAACAATGTGAATAAATTAGCCATGGGCAAGCTAGGCGATCACGATGATTTAGAATGGGGAAAAATAAGGTCAATGTTACAATACATATTTTGCAAAACAGATATAGAAATAATGATATGTGAAAATATAGAATATAATGCAGAAGAAAAAGCAATCATTTTATTACAATTTCACGATTCAAAACTAAGTGAATATTTAGGTGTGAATAAAACCATTAAGCGCATTAAAAAACAATTCTTATGAAAGGGTATGAAAAAAGACGTTAGAAAATTTATGAAGAATTGTGCGTCATGTCAGGTTAATAAGGTATCAAATCGGGACATAAATCAACCAATGGCTATTACATCCACTTCGTCTAAACCATTCGAAAAAATATTTATGGATATAGTAGGGCCTTTGCCGATTACACTGTCCAATAATGTATACATTTTAACGATGAAGGACGATTTGACACGTTAAACTTTAGGAATTCCACTTCCTGACCAGAAGGCAAATACTGTTGCGGAAGCCTTTGTTACACACTTCGTTTGTGTACACGGCATACCAGAAACAATACTCACGGATCAAGGAACTAATTTCCTCTCGAAAACGTTTGCAAATGTTTGTAAAATATTAAAAATAGAAAAGGTTAACACAAGTTCATTCAGACCGCAGGGTAACCCCGTAGAACGCGCTCATAGGACTTTAGCCGAGTACTTACGGCATTATGTAGATAAGAATTTAAATAATTGGGATCATTTATTACCCTTTGCATTCTTCATATATAATTCAACAGTACATACTTCTACTAATTTTCAATCATACGCATTAGTTTACAGATGTACATTGGAGGTACCGATTAACTCGAAGGCCAAACCTGAACCACGTTACAATTACGACGATTATATATTCGATCTAAAAAAAATATGCAAATATCGCATAAAATATCTAGAGATCATTTAATTAAAAAAAAATATATATAAATATAATAAATAATAATAACATAAATTAGATTATGATAGGTACTTCTAGGAAATATATATATAATAGTTTAGTTTTAATAAAATTATAATTTGTACTTTTAGATTGGTGATGGTGACGTGTTCTCTAGTCAATACTGTCGAATCTGACGAAATAAATACATCAGAGTACTTTTCATATAAGCCTAATGAAAGTGGCAGGGGAATACAATATGAGAATTTGGGACCAGTTAGATTAATAGGGGCTCAATACAGTCTTGTAACATTTTTCTCATTAAAAGAATATAACATGAAATATGAATTATTGGGGGAAAAAATAAAGAATATAACAAATATAATATGTACTGACTAGAAACACCAAGATCTATGTGGGAAATATCAAGTAGTAATAACAGATTTATATAATGAAATAACTAAACAGAAAGAACGTATGTATATGTCAAAAAACGTATGTAAAATCAACAATAAGAAATATTGGTAATACATTAAATCAAACTGAAACTATACAATAATATTACGGAAAAGGAGCAAAAACTATATGAAAAAATGTCAAAAATACAGAACAAAACAAACGATATATTAGATTTACTAATGAAAAATGAAATACATAATTTATATACAATAATTACAAAACAATATTCCTACAAAACAGAAACATTAGGACAAATAGTAACTGCCGCTAGAGAAGGAATGATACATCCAAGTCTTATGACACCGCAAAAACTAGCATCAACATTAAAAACAATAGAACAAACTATAAAGAAAACATATAGTATTCCGATGGGAACAAGGAGATGGGAACTAAATGAATTTCAAAAAATTACAAAAATAAGAATCTACTATACAGACAACAAATTAGTATTTGATATAGTAATTCCATTAATTGTTG